AAAATTACAGGCCTCTCTCATCTTTTTAAGTGGGAGAACTTGCACAATTGGTGGCTGTCTAAATACTTTTTTGCCCCACTGTACTGCTGTAGGCAAAATGCAACCAATTATGTAGAGCTTAGTACAGCATCTGATGCTGACCACATCCTTTCAACCTGGTAAAATGTAGAACATGTAGCAGTTCTGTGAAAGGCAACCAGAAAGAAGGCTGGACTCACTACAGCTTTGCTCAATCCTGTTTTGTTGACTAAGCCATACTTGGTAGAGTCCGTATAACATCCCCCTCTTGCACACGCACACAGCATTTGAGGGTGAGAACCATGGTCCTGAATCCCCCCTTGAAGCATAATCTCTGAAGCCACCCCATCCAGAGTGGCTCCTGGGAGACCCTGAGAAGATGCTTGCAGTGAAAGCCAAACACCCTCATTCCCCTCACTGTTGCTCGGCACCACTGCCATCAATGATGTGGGACCACAGCTCTTTGCAACTTGTTTATTATATTTTCTCTAAAAAGGTACTTTGCATATACAGCATGGCTCTGCGTTGATAAAAACGAGATATGACAGAATAAATAAACCCAGGAGAGATTTGGCATAGCAAGCCAACCCTCCTCAGAGGGACAGAAGAACGGTTCCACTAGGGGGATTGGGGGGAGGGGGTGTCTGCTTTTAAATACCACCTGGGTCAGCCTCCTCCACCCACCCACTATAGCCATCAGGATGTACAAAATGTGCCTCAGCCTTTGCCACTCCTATCCTCCTTGCCAGGCCTCCTGTCCAAGCCTTTCCCTGGAAGATGAAGTGCCAGAGCATCAGCTGATGGCAAGACAAGCCACCCATTTCACCCAACACCAAGTTGAGATGCTTCCAAGGCATCTGGAATGCTTTGATGATGCCCACAAGGAATGTGACAGCCTGCAGATTAGAGGGTGGTTGGGTTTCTGGGGCTGGAGAAGGGGAAAGTGCTCCCCAATGTCCTCTCTGAGCCCTTCTGGCCTGGCTTCCAAGGCAGCCCAAATATTATGCTCAAATTCCTATCCTACCCTCAAAGGACTGGAAATGGGATTTTGACCCAGAATGTCCATTTCTTCAATTGCCCACTGCTAGCTATCCTTTACGGAAAAAGGTGAGGGACCCTGCCTTTCAAAAATGAGCCATCATGTTTCAAGAAACAAAATAGCAACCATATCAGTTATTCCAGTTGGGATAAAAAAATCCTTCCCCCCGTGTTGTGTAATTTCCAATCTATTAGCAATATTTAAGTAACCAATTAAGTGAAAAGTATGCAAAGGAAACATGTGGAAGTGTGCCCTCTCCAGCTAGGCAGAATGGGACCGCTTGTGTCTTAGCTAAGTGGACCCCACCTTTTCTCCTGGGTTTCCAGCAGAAAAGCAGTGTGAAGTGCCTCTCGTTTCCAGTGCCTTCCAGCTGGGTGACAGTTCAGAGGCCTCAAGAAAAAGCAACTGGTCAAGAGGTAAACTACAAGACTGCTTAATTTCAAGTTTTGCTTTTTAAAATTGACAATGGACATTTCACAGTAGCCTCTGATCTTGGTATTGGAGGGAGGCTGATGAGTTTTTCAGACTCATCTAGCCTCAAGGAGCGCTGAGAAGGTAGAAACACGAAGGCCTACTTAAGACCTGGCTCACAGGTTTTGTACACCAAACAAACATCTCAGCTTTGGGTAGGCCAGGCCAACCTGTCCATCTAGTCCTGTTTTCTCCAACCTTCAGAGGTATGGACTTCAACTCCCAGAATTCTCAGCAATAGCCATGCTGGCTGGGAAATTCTGGGTACAGAAGGCCATATGCTAGGAAGTTGCCAAGGTTGGGAAACAGTGCCAGAGTTTGGTGAGTGGCTACCAGAACCACTCCAGAAATTATTACCAAACTAATAATATGAACTAAAAGGGGGAATCATATTGACTGGAGGTGTTCTGACCTTGGAAAGGTCATCCTCAGCTTGAACATCCTGTGTACTTTAGATCCAGAAATGATCCCACCTCAAAACAGATCATTCCTAGCTTAAGGTGTCCCAAGTTGAAACAGTGCATATGACCAACTCCATGTTATTTTAATTAAATTTAAGTGTAATAATGAGTGTTCATCCTGGTCCCATCCCTACTTGTGGCAGCGTGGCTCTCAAGACCACCTGTGGCCCTTGACCCAGGAAACTTACACCCACCTCTCTGGGCTGGCTCTCTTAATTGCAGGGGCAACGGTCACTCTTCCAGCTTTACCTCATCTACTAATTTCTCCTCCTACACTGTGGTGCCCTCCAGAAGGGTTGGGAACACAATTCTCAGATCCCAAGCCACTTCCTGCCACACTAAGTGGGGGGTCCCAGCTCTTTTGGGGGGCAACAGATTGGGGAATCTCATCAGCTAGATATGGACCTTAAAGACATCTGTCTGCAAAGCTCAAACTATTAAATTGTCTTCCCATTGCTGGGACCCAGAAGCTACCCCAATCAGGAAAGGAGGGGTTGAAACTATTTTGGAGGTCACTTATCTCCTGGGAATTTCTAGGAAAACTTTAGGTGCCCTAAAAACACATTCCCTTTTCTTTATTAAAACAGAATGACTTGAAAGAGAAGTCACAAAATGATGAGGTGTGGGCGACACACAGTGTTAAAATTAATCCACAGCCCTCTTAAAATACGAATTCTGTGTTCTCCACCAAGACTTTGGGAACCAGGCGTTCAAATAACACAGAAAGCAAACACCTTGAAGGGGGAAGCTTTGTAAAGTTACCTACTGTTTCATTCCACCTCAGAACCACCTTCACTCCCACTGATTCCACTTAGGGAAGATCCGACTGCACTGCCACCTCCCCCAGCTACAACCGGCAGGACCTTCTGTGGTGGATGCTCAACCATTCTGGCTGGCTGAGGCGGCGGAAGAGCAGGCTGAGGCAGCTAGACTCATAAAGCTCCTGCTTTGAACTGAAAAACACACATAACCCAAAACACATACATAAATACATAAATAAGCTGTGCAATGGATGATGCACTGACCCCTGCTCGCTCACATGTGTGCAAAGGATGATGCAACCTTCATTTAGTCCTCAGAAAAGGAAAAAAAATACACAGAAAGATCTTTGGAGTTGCATTATGTACAAAAACTGAAAATATAGATTATTATTATATATAGAGAGAGAGAGGGAGATTGATAGATTTTGTTTTCTGTACAGGATTGGTAGGAAATATTTTAAGAGGGTGGAAATTCTAGATCTAAAGTGTAAAAAAATACATTGTAACAGCCAGAGTCTACCGACTGGGCAGTCACTGGTAATAACCACTAATAGCAACCAAATTCTGGGATTTTTAAGGGCATGCTGGTGGACAGATCCCTTGGCATCCGAGCACAACCCAGGTGTGTGGAAATAAGCTTCAAAGATGATGCCACCCTGCAGGTCCAGTCCAGGGGGGAGCACTGCAGCACAGTCGAACTGGGCAGGAAGCACAATGGCCCCAACCAAGGTCCTAAAAGTCCACCAACCTCCCAGCTCATTCCCAGTAGCTCCCTGCAGTGGCTGGATTGCGGCCCTGGTTGGGCTCAGAAAATCCAAACCTGGGAGTGTCTAAGAAGAGGCTTTGCAGAAGTCACCACTGGGATTCAAGCCTTACGCCTCAGGGCTGCTCAGAACTCCGGCAAGATGTCCTTCGCGGATCTTCTGCACCAGGACAGTGTGACCCATCCCTTCAAACAGATTTCCAGAACAGAAGTCGTAGCTGGAAGGAAGCAAAGATGAGCAAATGTAGCTGCTGAGGGAGAAACAGGGAAGTTTCCCAGGCTGCCCGGGTGTCTTCTCAATGAACCTGCCTCCCTGCGGGCACAAAAGAACCTGTCCTGCATGGGCACCCATAGGAATTTTTGGCAAACATTCTTTGAAGATAATGCCACTCCTTAGCAGACACTGATGTTTCTTGTAATGTTCATACTACAAATGTCTTCTCCTCTGGTGGACTGATAGTACCCATGTATAGTACAGCTTAAATCCTCAAAAGATAATCCTAAATTGTGACAGAAAGAGAAATCTTTAAATATGCAGGGAGAATTTTTCAAATTAAAATGAAGTTTTTAAATTAAAATGGTAAATGAATTCAAATTCATTTTTGTTATGGGCATACCCACTTTTTGGAACAGAAATATGCCCCTCAAAAACTACCTGGATGCCAACTCAGTGTTATATGCAGGCTGAGAAGCACCATGATTAGGCAGCCTAGGTGCCTCCTGACCACGGTCTTCACGTGCTTTATAAAGAAACCATAGTTAACAAGGAACACATGCTAAGCCATGTTCATTGTAACCATGGTTTGAACAAACCCTAGCTGCCTATTTTATACCATGCAAATCACAACAGCCAGGTTCCTGCATCACTGAGAATCAAAAAGCTACACCATGGCTTAACCTGATGTGTGAACCCAATCAAGGCTAAATCCTAGTAAAAATATAGAATGGGGAGGAACAGAAAGCAGTGAATTTTTCTGGGTAAAATTCATAATTCCCTTTTTATACCTTCGAACCTCTAAATAGGCGGCTAGTATAGGGCAGGAGTAATGAAATAAGTACAGAAAATATAAATTGGGGTAGGAAAAGAACTTTGGTTGGAAGGTTCGCACAGAGCTCTCATGTGTGGAGAAGGGTTTGCCAGGTACTCCTTCCCCCAACAGAGCTCTGAAAATCGAAGAACTTGCAAACATTCACATTGGCCTCAGTTGGTCTAGTGTGATATTCCTGCCCAGGATCCTTAAAAAGAATGTTTGTTTTAATACTAGAAGGAGCCAATTTCTGGTGTCTTGCAAAATGTTTCCAATTCAAAACATTTCAAGCTTCAAAATCAAACGTGGAGCTTAACACAGCCTTCAGATGTTGTCAGAAGCGTCCCAGTGCTGTCCCAATCCAGTGGATGTGTTCCATGAACCAGCTCTAGTAGGGTCATGACCACCTGTTCTGAGTTCCAGCCATCTTGAATTTCAAATGCCTCTTATGCTCATGTCTGCTGTATGCTGACGATATCAATTGCAGCTGCATCCAATCCTGCACATCCCAAACCTAGTTTTCATAGCTAAGAAAAAGTCCAGGATTCTGTAATTTGGAGAGACTACAGTATGTCAACGAATGCCCACTTAGTCCCTGCTGACTCAAGTATCCCATGACCAAAATTTAGCTGTGATTCTTCGGATTCAGGGCAGCCACAAGGGATCAGAAGCTTGGCTTTCAGGAGAGTCTCCAGCTTTAAAAACTGCCAATGCCACGATTTTTCCAGTCTTGCCACAGAACAGCAGCACGCGCAAAGTAAAAGAGCTCTGCCAAGTGTCTTTCTTCTGAGCTGCCAACGAGATCCTCACTTGCCGAAATTTGCTTGCTTTCTTCCCTCCAGAGAGGAATGGAGCCCCCTCTCCCCGGCACACAGTTCCAAAGGGTGCCCCACCTTTAATCCAGAGAGATGATATCTGGTCGGCACCCTGGCAGAGCCGGGCTGCTTCCCATGGTGCCGCTGTGGCCGTGGCTCTCCCGCAGGCTGGCTGTAGGCGAAGAGACAACGCTGTTCATGCGGCTGCCGGTGGGGGAACCTACCCCACTGTGGGATCCCACCACAATTGGAGCCAGGGGGCTCATGAAATGTGGGGAGGGTCCACGATACTGGAAAAAGTGGCTCAGGGTGTCCTGTTCATCTAGGGAGGTGATCACCGAGGGGCTGTAGTGCTGCAAGAGGAAGAGAAAATCATTTCTTTCTGCTTACCCCAATGCAGAATAATAGTAATAGCAATAACAACAATAATGATGTCAATTTTTATCCTGCCTTTCTGCCTATAGCACACTTGCTATGCACGAGTACTTAGGCTGAAAGAGAGGTACATTAATCACTGCCCAACCTGCTGCCTGGGATTCCAACTTTGGCCATGCTGGGAGCCTTCTGGGGGTCCAATGTTTCTGGAACACGAAAGGTTGAACAAGGCCCTGCTCCCTATTTCCAAGAGCATTCAACCACAAGCCTCATCTGGCAGAGTAATTCGTTGCCTGCTTAATTTTCTTCTTTTCTACTGTTAAACAAAATCTATTAGTAGCTGAATGAGTTCTGATCTAGGAGTAGCTTTTGTTTAGTAGATAAGAAAAAGACAAAAGGATTTTGTATCTTCCCCACCCCCCCATGCAAGAGCCAGTTTGATGTAATGATTAAAGGCATCAGGCTAGAAACCAGGAGGCTGTGAGTTCTAGTCCCGCCTTAGGCACAAAGCCAGCTGGGTGCCCTTGGGCCAGTCCCTCTTTCTCAGCCTTAGCAAGGAGGAGGCAAGGGCAAAATCTTGCCAAGTAACTCCAGACCTGTCTGGCAATTGCCAGCTCAAAACTGACTTAAAGTCACCCCCAAACGAACAACAAGCGAAACATCCAATAAATACCCCCCCCAAGGCACTCTCTATGCCCTTCTGCCTTTTCCCACCCCTTTTTCTCTTTCCTAAATGCAACTGCAAAGAAGCTGGCTCTGGATTAAGGAACTTGGGGAAGTTTTAACCCTTTTTCTCCACACAGAGCTCCTCTCTGACCGATGGGGAAGGATGCTTTACAATTCCCTGAATGCTTGCACTGCCCCCCCTCCCAAGCAAGTCGTGGGGCAGAATGAGTGCAAGGGTGCCAGTGGACTTAGTGGGCAGCGAGCTGAGCCCCAAAACATGACTGTTAGTAGACTTCCATTCTATTTTCCCTCCAGCAACTAAGTTTCCATCTAGCATTTCCTCCTCCACTGTTTTATTTATTTTTAATTATTTTATTTGTACGTCACCCATTCCAGCAGGTTCTAGGAAGCCAACCATCAAAAAGATCACCAAGTAACCCCTCTCCCCAATAAAACAAATCAAGAACAGTATCAAAAGTATGCCAAAAGAAAGAAAGAAATAAAATATACAAAAGCATGCATCCACCCTCCTCAATGACCACATGCCTCCTCTTGCGCTGGTTGAGCTCTAACTGCTCTGCTGAACCCAGAAGAGAAGCAGCTGAGTAGATCTCCATGGGGAGGCGATTCCAGAGCAGGGAGCAGTGACTGAAAATGCCTGCTTCTGAGGCCCAGTCAGATGCCATTCTCATAAAGCAGGAATTGGAGAGAGCTGACCCCTTTCGACCTGATCGGACAGGTAGATCAACATGAAAGAAAGTGGTCTCCCAAATAACCAGGTGTGGAACCATTTAGAGCCTTAAATGTGACAACCAGCAGCTCAAACTGCACTCAGAAGCCATCTGGCAACCAGTGCCACTCCTGCAGCAGTGGGGTCTCCCAAGCGCTCTTTCAGAGGTAACAGGAACACCCCCCTCACTCAAAGCAGCATTGATTACTGCTTGGATCCACTTCCTGCCACCTCATGAGAAGCCTTAACAACCAAGAGGGGCAGGAATCCAATTGTAGGGTGGCAGAAGTGACACCACAGAGACCCCTATGTGCTTCCTCAGGACTCACAAATTCAAACTGATCCCAGATCACCACACAGGACAAAGCCCCAATTATCTACATCAGCACTGTCCCACTACTGTCCAATTCTGAATCTTCCTGGCAGCTCTTCAGATGTTATTGGCGATCATCTTCCTTCAGCGATGCTTGAGGCATCTCCCCGGCCATTTCATCTCCCTGAGTAATTCAGCGAAGCAGGGAGTTGCAGTGGAACTGTGAGAGGGGAGAGGCTGCACTGGTACCATCCAGTCAAGGGCCATGGTCACTTTGTTACTCCAATCAGGGTCTTCTCTAAATTGCCCACCAGATCCTCAGGGAACTCCCAAAGTGCCCACTGGATCCATTATGCATGTGGCGCAGACTGATCTTCCTCTGTGGAGAGGGAGGTTCACACCACAAAGCTCCATAGCAATCAGAGTGATTTGTCCATGAAAAGGGACTCAGCTCAATGTGCCCCCTCCAACTTTCGGATCTGCCACGATGAATCTGCCCAAGACAAAAACCAGATCTAATGTGCAACCTCTCATGGACAGCAGGCCCTCAATTACTTGGGTCAGGTCTATGGTTGCCAGCTGTGAACTCCTGGACTACTCCAGACCCCTCCCCAAGGAAGGCAAGTTGAACTCCCCCAACACTACTAATTGATTGCCACCCCAGTGATCAAGTTGAACAGCCCTGGCAGAGATGCTGCTGTGCAGAAACAAGGGCTCACATCTGGTTTCCTGAAGAGTAGCCCCTCTTGACGCCAGCAGAATCTTCTGGACAACCACAGCTACTACCCTCCCTTCCACGGGACTGCAGCTGATGCCAAACCCAGATCTCTGAAAGAAGAACTACACCCTCCTTCCCCAGCCAGGTTCCAGTAATACAAACTAGGTCTCCTGTCTCATCCACAATTAAACCATGGATGAAAACAGTTTTGTTACAGCATTCAGTAGCAGCAGCAGCTGCAACCTCAGGACTCCAAGGCTCTGCAGCCCAGCTCTTGGCACGAGGACTGAAGCTGGAAGGGGAGTCCGATCAGAGATGCTGAACCCTCCTTCCTTATGTGGCCTGCTCTCAGCCTCCACTATATCCTCCACTGCCTGTCATGACCATGATTCCATGTCCCCAAATCACACCCCCATCCCAGTCTATGACCCCCCTGCCTTCAACCAGTAAAGCTCTTTACCCTCTAGCACCAAATGATAATCAGCCCAGGTGACTTCTGAACTTTGGAAAAGCTCCTCAGACATCCCACTAACCCCGTTTCCAGCCACTCTGCTCACCTACTCATCTACCCTTCACCTCCCTCTCACTAGACAGGCAGTCATAAACATCACCAGGAAGCCTGGCCTCAACCCTGGCTCTCGCCCAGGTACAGTCCTCCAACTAACACCCCCCAAAACTCCAATCCTGAAGATGGCCACCTGACATTCTTATGTGGGGAGAAGACACAAGGAAGCCAACGCCAATGGAATCCAAAGCCCTTGCCATCCCAAATTGTGATCCAACTGGTGTTAAAAGGTCCGTGCAGCAGTGAGGCAGGTTGCTACAAAACAACCTCCAGAGCAGCCTCGACGTCATTGGGTTTCCGTAGAGCACAGCCCAACTGGAGAATCTGCACCCCACAGCACATCCTGGGCTGGCAGCCCCAGATCTGGGTTTCTGACTATCAACACAAGGCCTCTGCCAGAGGGCCTGTCTGCTTTGATGCCAGCCATCTGTACAGTGAGATGAGATGGGGATCAGGCAGACAAACAGGACAAGCAGGCAGACAAAATGGCATCTCCAAGTCTGAAGCCATCCGGACCAGCCAGTCCACCAGTGCTTGGGGAAAGCCCGGTCCAGTCAGTGCTGCAAATTCAGGTTGTGATCTGTGTAGTTCTCCAAGTGGACAGTCCAGCAATGGCCTCCTTTGCCTCACAGTGTATCATCATCAGTGCTTTCTAGCCAAGAAATGGCCTTAAGGGTGAACCAGGCTGGCTGATATTAACATTCTCAGAACAGAATCATTTCACTGCAGGATTCTCTCAAGTCAATGGCTTTTCTCTCCTTTCCCTTTGGTTTTTTTTTAGCGATTTCCTTCTGTTCTTATACACCCAATGACCAAGACGCATGCGAGGTGTGCCAGGAGGATAAAACATCCAGAAGTATTAAGGAACAGCCCACAGGGGCAGCTGTTGGGAATAACCTTGTAAAACAGGATGGGCTGAGAGGGTGTCTTGCTTACCAGGTGAATTTCTAATTTGAGGGTGGATGTGATTCTGACTGCCCCCAGTCCTGGTCCAACTCCTTCACCCTCTGGCCACATTGGTGGGCGAATCCCACACGTTTCTTCAGTTCTGTGCTCCCCACACCAAAGGAGAACCACACCGGTTTACTGAGCCTGGGGCAGGCCATCTTCCCAGCCAAGCCCCCTGCCCTTCCTCTCCACATACACGGCAAGGTGCCTCAGCCTTCCAGATCTGTGGCACCGATTCCCAGAATCCTTAGCTGCAGTCTGGAAGATTTAGGAATTCTGGGAGTTGAAGGCCACAGATCTGAGGACATCCAGGTTCAGGAAGACTTTTGGCAAACAGGAACTTTATCAGCCCTCGCCGCCCACAAAGCCCTTTCAACGCAGCTAGCGGATGTTACTCAGGACCACCAAGAGACTTCCAGAATCTGGTAGCACGTGAACTTAATCTGAGGTGAAGCCATGCAGGACACCCCATTTTTGAATGACTTCTGCCTCTCATGGAGCATAACACATCTTTTCCAAAGTCGAGAAGCAATACAAGGAGAAGGGAGCACAATGAAAGCCCAGCAGAGAAAGAGATGCCGCCCTCGCCCACTAACGGCTGTCTCTGTCCTGCTCAGCTCAGTTCCCACCAAGAGTTTTCAACAGCGGTCTAGTCAGCTCAGCTCCCAGGGAAGAATTTCACAAGAAGCGGCAGTAAGATAGACACTTTACAAATCTCTCTCCCCTCCCCGCTGGCAAGCTTCTCAAACTACTTGCACAACCAAGAGTTAAGCTGGGTAATTTTTCAGCCCAGCTCCCCTTCCCCGCTCCCCACAACCTGCAATCTATTATAAGATTCCAAAGATCTAACACCCCAAATCTTGCAAGATCCCAGGCAACAACAAAATCCACAAGAATTGACAAATCTTACAAGATTGCAGTCACTTTTTTAAAAAATATTTTCATTTCAATTTTATTGGGTGGAGGCTGCTAGAACTATTGGGGGGGGGGGGAATGTATGCTCTACTGCCCAAAAGCTTTTTGTTACCAACACCTGAGTTAACTCAGAACCAAACCTTTTGCAGGAGCCTTGCCAAACCTGGGCAGCACAATTCACTTCTTCAGTTCCTCGATACAATCTCTTCATGAAGAAAAACCAATTTGGAAAAGAATGTGTCATGAGAGGAACCTCTCCTATTCAACCACAAGGAAGACCAAAGCTAAGGTTACAGCCAAGACTGAAACCTACATGAAGGGCTAGCAATGGACTGACTCATTACCCCAAAAGTTTCTTCCACTGTTTTCTTTCCTTTGGGTGTGTGTTTGTGTGTTTTGTCCCTTCAAGTCATTGTTGATTCTTGGCAACTGCCTGGACTAGTCCCTGCAGTTTTCTTGGCAAGATTTCAGAAGTGGCTTGGTTCGGCCTCCTTCCTGGGGCTGAGAGAGGGACTGGCCCGAGGTCACCCAGCTGCTTTGTGCCTAAGGCAGGACTTGAACTTGCAGCCTCCTGGTTTCTAGCTGGTGCCTACACCAAACTAACTCTGTTTCCTCTAGGTATTTTAAAACAGACTAATATTGGCTGCTTTTGCTGTACGTTGGCTGGTAGGTGGCACTCAGGATCATCTGACCTAACGCTGTGTCCAAAAATGAAAGAGCAAGGATTTGATTTGAGTTTCAGTTGCTCCCTAGGGTGCAATGAAACATCCTATCCCATCCAGAGCTTGGGACAAAATTTTTCTTCGAGCTGAGAGCACTTGCAACAGCTGTTTTGAACTCTGAATCTTGCAAGTTTGAAACAGCTTGAAGACCTACAAAAGTAAGCTTGTTGGGTTATCAAAGCAACTAAAGATATGTGAGACTGATTACGCAGAGAAAAAGGAACCTCCCATTTTAATGGCTACTCTATGGATTTGAGAAAAGATTGGATGGGTGGGAGAGAGATGGAAGAGAAGAAAACATACCTGATTTTCACTTTGAAGGAAGGAAAACAAATCCAGACCTAGAAAAATGAAAAGGGGGAAAGTAACCTTAATGGTAAAATGAACATATTGGAAGAAAAGAAAATATATTAAAAAAAAAAACAAATCAGGAAGTGGTGGGTGGGTGAGTGAAGACATTGGAATCACGGTAGGATGCCAACAATATTGTTCAGCTTCAGTCCTCTGGGTGGGACGCCAAACTTGGCCCCCCTCCCCATCCTCTGGGAAGGGGGCAGTCTGCTTTCCCTATGTTCTCTGGCTGCCTGTGTCAGAACTGAAGGCTTCTCTTCCCCTCCACTTTCCCATCTGAGTCAGAACACCCCTGTACTGCCCCTCTTGACTTCAGAATCCATGGTCATCTTGGAAGGCACAGGGCCACAACAGGAGACCGGAGAGGAATGGAAGCTTGCGAGGAGGACAGGGCTTAGTTGCCAAGTGCCCCCTCCCAGCTGACACTGGCCTTAATTTCAGCTGGAGCAGGATCTGCAGCATAAGGGAGCAAGAAGCTGGGGGTTGTTAACAACCACAGGACAGAGGTGTAGTATCTGGGCTAGCTAACCAGACAAGGGCCTCAGCCCCTCTGATGGCTGTGTTCACACGAGAAGCTGAAGCAAGTCAGTTAAAGACCAAGAAGCTACAACACTGCTAAGACAGGTGAGCTTTAACCTTGCTTCGTTTTCTTCTCATTCGGCACGTTGTGCAAGCCCAGCCTGACTGGTTATTGTAGGATTCCATGAATTGCCTGAACCCAGCAAATAAGTTAGCACATTCCCAGGTGTGTTGGGAGGGAGGGTTAATCTCATCTCAGAAAGGCTTTTTTATCAGAGGCCCAGGTTACCTTTGTGAAGGGCGAACTAATTAATACTGTTTCACTATTTCTCTCATGTAAAAGGGAGACTTTTTGTCCCCAGAAAATTTACCTCCCCAACAAGGGTTGGGGTGAATTCCAGACTCTCTAATCCTAAGCAAACATTGTGACCTGACAGCACATCCCTTCCAAGCCGTGTTCTGGAGGCTGCCATGCCCTTGTTACCTGCCTCTTAGCATAAATGGCTCCCCTGCCATCAGTGAGCAGCAAGCCTCAGTTCTCTTTCTCTCCAGGGCTCCTCCTCCCTGGTTAGGGATGCCCTGCACCAGCTTCCCTCTGCCACCCCAAAATTCAAATGGCAGTCCAGTTCCTAAGATCCCTGTCAGGCATGGGGGCAGTGCCTTATGGGAGCTGACATCTGACCTCCAGAGACTGGGTGGAGGGAAAGAAGCTCAAGGTTGGACTGGATAAACTGGTAGTGTTTCTTCCGTGACTTACCTGGCATATCCACCACTTCCCTTCCTTTGTGGACACACCTGGCACAACCATGTGGGTTTGCCAGCATCCAGCCACTCAGTAGTCTGAGAAATTTTTACAGCTGATTGCAAAAGGGGCACATTTTTAAGGCATGGCACTGATATAGCAGTAATGTTAGTGGACTTTTGAGAAAAAGGTTTTCTCTTTTATGCTAAACTATGGTATTCTTTTAAACATGTCATAAAAAAGGGAGAGATTTACACACTGTGTGACTCATGGTCTACTTTAACCATGGTCTACCAAATAAACCCAGCAATCTGGTTCACCCATCCCACAAAACCAGAAATCCTGGTTTACAAACCACAGTGGCAGAGTTCACAAATCATGCACATGCAAAGAAACCCACCACTAGGGCTTAGCACCATGTGTGAAGCCAGCGAAAAAGCCATTGTAGCCCTTTCCTTGGTCTTTTCCTTCGGTCCTATTCCCTGCTCCGCCTCCCCACAGGCAGGAATAGAGCAGCAGGGACACAAGACCAAGCCAGTGTCCTGCCTATGGCAGTGGGGCTCAAGCAGGGCAAGCGGCTGTGGAAAAACTGCCACCGCCTCTTTTGCCAGATGCGCTCATGACCGTGAGCTGGGCGATTTGCAAAGATGGCAGGACAGATACTCAAAGGATCACAGGGCTAGCGACATCTACTCATCTGCCTGTTGCAGATTTGCCTCTAGAAATACCAGCTGGGGGGAAAGAGGACTCCTGCGCTTGCCCTTGGGATTGCCAGACACATCCAGGTAGCCACTATGGGATATGGAAGGCAGTACCAAATTGGCCCCTGGTCTGATCCAGCCTTGAGCACCTCTGCTGGCCTCATGCTCACCCTTGGCATCACCAACACTCTGACAATGTTCTTGCACTTCCCAAGGCAATGAAAAAAGCCCTCCAGCTCTCCCCGGGTAGGGAAGAGAGCCCAAGGGAGAAAGCTATCTGGTCCAAATTACCTTGGATGTCTGAAGGGACTGGATAAGAAGGGTGGTAGTCAGACAGTGGGAGGCTGGAGAGGTAATCACTGCCCACTGCAGCCATTGGAGGACTCCGCAGCACCGAGGAGGGCTGGTGATCTGTGTTTAAAACCCTGAAAGGAAACGCAAAGGTTATCGGAGCTGGAAGGGGCAATTGGTTCTTTGGGAGAAAAGGAAAATTTGCAGCAGCCTTTGGGACCCAAGGCCCACAACTAATTGTTCTGGGGGACTGGGGGTCACAAGATTGTGGGAGGAGCTGGGGAGTCCCACTGTTTTTTGTTTGTTTTACTGTAATATTGGTATTTGGTGTTCTGGCAGTTTTCAGCAACTATGGTCGGTCTATCTATCTATCTATCTATCTATCTATCTATCTATCTATCAAATTTACATGGCTGCCCATCTCACAAAAATTTAATCTGGGCTGCATACAACACTCCAATATAATATTCCAAAGGCCACTAAAAAGGAGGTCAGTTGTGCCATGCAGTTGCAGGCTGCACACCAGGCTTTAAAAATTAACCTATTTTATATTAAGTTTTTATGGATCAAGGCCACTTCATATGTAGTGTTGGGAAAAAATGGAAGAAGAAAGAGGGGGATAGTGAAAGTAGGCAAGATTGTTTTGAGGATCAGAAGACCCAGGCTCTGTTCAGGGGGGTTGGAGGGTTGGGAGGCAATCTATCTATAAGATTCCCCAAATGAATACATTAACCTGATGAATTAGCCCAAGAGAGTTCAATTTAGCCCCTAAAAAAACTTGAATATACAATGAGGAGGTATTATGGGCATACCTAACCTGCTTCACCTTCCTGGTCCCCCAAGAAAAAGAGCCAGAAACAAAGAGAAGCTTAAAAAAAGCAAGCCTCTCTATTATGGAACTCCCAGCCAAAATCACCCAGTGCAAGGTACTTCTCCCAAACACAAATTACCTGCAACATTTACTGCTGCCAGCCTGGCCCATGGAAAACAGCCAGTGAAGTGACAAAGCCCTGCCATACGCTTCTGATTCAGGGGCTTGTGGGATGCTATGCTCTTCCTGAAGAAAGTGGGTGAAGATGCTCTATTCCCCAAAGAGTGACTTTTGAACCAGTTAATGTGAGTGTGAAAAGCCAGAACCACCAGCCAGGAGATCAGTGTGGGTTACTGACTGAGTGGGTTAAGCATCCTGCAGAACAGGGTCACAGAAATAAAGTACAGCCATTCAAATGACTGTGGACAATTTCTAAAGGGTTGGGGCTGCTGCAACTTTAGCCTCTCAACCTGCTGGAAGTTTGACCTTGCTGGAAAAACTGGGACAAAATAGTTTTGTCCTTCTTAAAGTTTAGTGGTAAGTCAAAGATGAGGATAACTTCCTAGAGGCCCCCCAACTCTCCTTCCCAGCCAAATTTTTGAAAAACAGCAATGCCAAATTTGGATATTTCAGCACGACAATCCTGGTAATGTGATGTTCTCATCAGTCCTATGCAGCAAAATCAACAACAAAATCTTGTGTCCATGAAAGCCACCAAGAGGAGCGGGGATGGAAATAAAGGTTGCTTTGGAAATGGCCAAACATGAACCAGTCCCATCACCGACGTGACAAAGTTTGCGAGATTCGTAATTTTAAAGTCCTAGGAAGCCAGACTTTCCTTCCGAGAGCTTTCCCATCACCAAGTCTGAGTAAGAGAAACCAGCCAAGCAACAAGGGATGGCCACTCCAAGCCAACTGCCCCTACCCCTTAGGTCCGGCTGCTGGCGGGATGGCCGCAATGGCCACAGGACACACTTTCTTGGTGGGGGGCTCCTCGTCGTCTGAAGAGCTGTCCAAGGTCAGGTCAATCACCTCCACTTTCTTCTTATTTTCAGATGGTTGTTTTCCATCCGAACCCACTGTGTACAGAGAGGCTGTAAGGTAACAACACCACCACTCAGAAACTGACTTCAGACAGCTGGCTTCATACATGACAAAATCACTGGGGTCCCCCATAATGCTAAGTTGTAAACCATTTGGAAATCACAAAGGCACAGCACATAAACCTCAAATCAAACAACCCATGTTAACTTAGATCAGGGTTTCTCAACCAGGGTTCGGTGGAACCCTAGGGTTCCCTGGGAGATCATGATTTATTTAAAAAATTATTTCAAATTTGGGCAATGCGCTCTCACAGTGATGAGGAGAGACCGAATAAAAATCTAGTTACAACTCTTTCTGAGCTCTCTGGTAGTGCACTGTAGTAAATATAGTATACTTTATTGATTAGTCATATGACCATATCAAAGCATAGGCATCAGCCATAGTAAGATACAATAAAATGGAATAAAGTGAGGTACAGTAAAATAGAATAAAATTGACCACAGTGAGATATAATAGATAAATGCAGTAAGGATAAAAAGTAGAATAAAATAGTACAGATATATAATAAAATGAATATTAAAATTGAAAACATTATGCGTTTAGGTGAATTCATCACCTTTGCATGCAAGCCTGATGTGTTCTATAAAACATGTTCTCTGTTGGACAGCCCTGACTATAAATTTGACAGTTCTAATGGCTACATATTTGTTTGTGCCCTGAAGGAAATAAGATCATCTTTCATTAGAGTCCCAATATATGGTTCTGTCAAGTAGTGTCTGTAAGTACTGAGCCCTTATTGAGGCATATAATCGACAGCTGAACAGGACACGTGCAATGTTTTCTATTTCTGATGCTCCGCAAATACATATTCTCTCAGGATATGGCACTTGGTGGAATCGTCCATCTTTGACCATAGAATCTAACTGCTCGAAAATTGCTCTGGTAAGAGTAATCCTATGGTATTGAGTCAAACCCATTTCAAATATTTTTCTGCTTGGAAGGACATTTTATTTCTGGCCAACCATTTCAATGACCTGATGTTTGCAAGTGACTCAATATCAGTTTGGGCATTAACATCCAGAAGTCTTTGAATATTGCCTTGGCCTGATGTCCGGCTGAGAATAGGTATTGTGTTGAGAAGCTGAGATGTGAGATGATTTGGAGAAGTTGATTGATCCATGTGGTGGGCTGAAGTGTGGCCATCTATTCTTCAAGGCACATTTTTGGTAGTCTGTCAGGTTCCATTGAGAGGATCCTCCACCGGTAATTAAAGACTTTGATTACTGTTAGACTATAAATGGAATGGGTGCCGGCTTCAACTCTTACCGCTGTTGCAGGTGTATTCTTGTGGGTCCCTAAGATAGTTCTTTAAAAGCATGCTTGATTTTGTTCCAGTAAGGAGGCCTTTGATAGGCCCCATGAATCTGCACCATACGTTAGCAGTGGTATGATTTTTGCCTTGTGGACCTTTAAAATGGGGAGCAGAGAACTTGGGTGGCTGTAACTAAGTAATTTAGTTAGCTTTTTGGAGCTTGCTGTTGCCTTTATAGAACTTTGTTTGAAGTGGTTAGCCCAAGACCCTGTATCTGTAAAAACCATCCCTAAATATGAGATCTATTTGTTTTATTGGCTCTCTATCCAAGTGCCAATTGTATTTGGGCCATCTTTTTCCAAAAACCACCACTTTGGATTTACTCCTAAGAAAACTGGAAGCACGATAGGCACCAAATTTTACCATTAATCTTCTCAGGTCTACTTGAGAGTGTGCCATCAAAACCATGCCACCTGCATACAAAAGGATGTTGATGCGTCTGTTCAGGATCTTTGGCATGTGAACATCCATAGAACAGAGAAATCCTGGGGTGTCATTGACATAAAGATTAAATAACATTGGAGCCAAAATGCACCCTTGTCTTACACCTTTGTAAATGGGTATGCTCTGTGTAAGGGAGCCATTGACTCCAGTACAGACTTTCAGGCATGTATTTGTATACGAGGTATAAGTGTCTAGGTTCCATATTTAACTTAGCAAGGCTCTTCCATAAGATGACTTTTAAATGCTGCACTAAGATCTATGAAAGATGTAAACAGATGTTTACCATCTGATGTATATTTGGTAATAAGATGGTATAATACAAAGCAATTGTCTATTGTGGAGTACCCAGGTCTGAACCCAGCCTGTTCTTCCACTAATATATTCTTCTCAATCGCCCAATCCTCTATTTTTCTCGGGAGATGTTTCGCCTAGATCTTACCTGTTATATCAATAAGGCTTATGGGTCTGTAATTTTTTGGGTCTACCTTATTTCCTTTTTTGTGTATGGGAACAATGATGGAGAGTTCCCAACCTGCTGGAATATGGCCAGTGTTGTCTATATATGTAAACACCCCTGCCAGCAGTGGAACCCACCAGTCAATGCGTGTCCTGAAAAGTCTGGGGGTAGGAAGTCTTCACCAGGTGCCTTATTGGATTTCAGTGACTGAATAATGTGATTAATTTCTGTCACTGCCACTGGTGGCCAAGGAGGGAGATTATCAAGAGTCAGAAACTCAGTAGCCATCATTTCTGGATGTTCTCGTTTGGAATTAGCAAATAAGTTAGCATAAAAGTCCTCCCAAACTGTAGCTGGGATGGGGATTTCAAGTAGAAGTTTATGCTCCTTCAGCATGCCAGATATGATATTCCAAAATATGACTGAGTTGGACCCTTTTGCTGACTTTTCTAGCTCAGACCAAACTGTAGCTGTGTGTTGAACCTTCTTGGTACCTATTAGTTTCTTGTAAGTACATCTGAGCTTTAACATCTTGGCATGATTGTTTGGTGTGGGGTTTCTCTGGACCAAACGCATGCCTGCTTTTAGGATCTTTCCTGAGCGAGAGTAATCATGGTCAAACCAATTAGATCTTGTGTGCTGTTGGTTCCTAGCTGGCAATTTTTCTATTAAAAAGTTCCTTAACATGTAAGACAAATTGGCATATCTGGTAAATGTTTTGTTTGGATCTTGAGTAGATGTAACAACTATTTTCACCCAGGACTGGGCCCTTTCAGAGTTCATAAAACTGGCATCCACCTTAGGCCATTTGAGACTCCTAGCTTGCCTCACTTCATGTGGTACGGATTGTCTTAAATCAGAACTGCCATAAAAGTTAACTGCAATCAGTTGATGGTCCCTGTCTTCCCTCAGGTAAACTTGAATGCCTGAGAATAAGCCAATTTTGTCTGTTGAGACACATATATAATCTAGGGCACTGCTTGCATTCCCAGCATGGAATGTCAAGGGATATATAAGGCAACTGTCCTTGCCTTCTAGGATCTGAAGATTGCATGTATAGATTAAGGAGATCAGTTTAGAGCCTGCCATGTTCCTTTTAGAGTCTTTGGAGTACCAAGGTGGGTCATTTGATAGTCCTCAGGTATGATGCCCAAGTGGGCACAGTCATACAAGGAAGCCCCCACCCTACCATTAAAAGTCTCCCAATAGAATCACAATGGCTTTGGGATGTTTTATATTTATCTCTAAGACTGTTTTTTCTAATTGCACCCAGATGTCAGGGGAGAAGCCAGGAGAGGAATATGGGGTTAGATATGCATTTAATAGCACTACTTCAAGTGATTTGTATTTAAGTTGAATAGCTAGGAGACAGAAGGGGTCATCTCTGAGGACCAGTTCCTGCCCTTGCCAGCCCAAATCTGCCTTGGTCCACCCTATTGTCTTGAATTTACACGCTGGTATAGACCATGATCTAAAGCCTGGTAGGTGAGCAACTTCATCATCAGAGGTTAGCCATGTCAAACTTGGAGAGAAATTTCATCAGATCTCCATCTGACATTCTATTCTTCCATCCAGCTATGTTCCATGTCAGTAGCTGAATAGAACTTCCTTGTTTATTGTCAGAAGGGGTAGCTGACGATATGTTGGGGTCTGTGGTTGGATGATGTGGCTCATGCAGACATTCTACAGGTGAGATGAGGTCCAAAATTCCTTCAGTATCTAGGAAGACACACTGGTTGAAATTTGGCCTACCTTGCTGCTGTGTGGAATCAGATAAGACTTGTAATGATTTGCACACAGAATAATGAACATTAGCAAATTGTTGTTCCATGTCTATATCACTGACCAAAGGGGTTGTCTCAGGCCTGGGCGATGATGTTCTTCCTGCCTCATGGGCTACCTTTGTCATGATTTCCTGTGGTTCCTGAAGCAGAGATTTGCCTGGAGAGCTGGAGGGTGTGCCAGTTATTGGATGTGTTAGTGTAATGGAATGGAATTATGAAGCCCAGGCTCAGGGAGAAAAACATTTTCTTTCATCTCCTGAGGAGCGTGGGAAATACAAGAGGATGAGACTGGCACCTCCCTGAGGAATTCACAGTGTTGTGGCTGGCATTACTTGGGTGCTAGAGGTTATAGCTAATAAACATAGCTGGACTGAATTTACTTGGTCTGTTGGAGTTCCTTGGGCTAGGCCTGACAGTTAGGCTGCAAATGTCCACATCATGTTCCTGGTGTGTCCCACCACCTAGCTCCGATTGTGATTCCCAGAGTTTTAGGCAATCGAGACCCTCCTCTTGTTGACATACAGCATCCAGCTTTTTGTTCTTTGACATTTCTGAATGTTGTGCTGTTTTAACAGGGGGCAATGTATAGGAGTTTGGATCTGTTCCAGGGATTGATTGATTCTCTGTACTGATGATTTGCATATCTAGATTCCACAAGTCAGAGGAGGGGGCTGGAATGTCAGCAAGTGCTCTCTCGAAGTAACTGCAGTTACTTTGGGTAGTTGGTAAAACCAAGTCAATTAGAGGTTTGGCTATTTTATGTGTTGCCACTAAAGATTTTCTTAGATTGTCCAGTTTTTTTAATAATGTCAATTTGTTCCAAGTCTGACAAGGCACAAAAAGAGTTAATCAGGTTTTCTTCCAGGAGGTCATCTGTACACTGTCTTGCTGTAGGTAGCGCCGATGGTTTGCCTGGGCAATCATCTCTCGGGGTCAGAGCTGGTAGAATGTCCTTGAGGTTATCTGGAACCGAGTGGTCACATTTGTTCTTTA